AGTAATTTGAGATAAAATTCACTAACAAACACAACTACTTTAAAGTGGCATTTAGAACATTCATAGTGTTGTGCAACTACCTTGTTTTTCTTCTGGCTCCTCTCACCAATTCTAAAGTTTTGAAGTTCATCCATGATGCAATATATACTTCTTTCTCTTTTATGAGAAATTCTATGTAAACACAATAATTTATAGTTTATAATTTATAATTTTTTTCTGTTCATCCCTTATGGACCTTTAGGTTTCCAGCAACTTTCCTTTTTTTTTTTGTGAATCTATTTTAAAAAACTTTTTTTTGCCAGTCCTGAAACTTGAACTCAGGGCCTGGACACTGTCACTGAGTCTCTTTTGCTCAAAGTGAGCATTCTACCACTTAAGCCGTAATGCCACTTCTGGCTTTCTTCTGTTTATGTGGTACTGAGGAATTGAACCCAGGGCTTCAGGCATAAAGCACTCTACTACTAAGCCACATTCCTAGCCCTTTAAAATACTTCTCAAGAAGTATTTTACTTCTTCATATTTTAAAAGTATGTTTTATAAATGATGTGCTAAATGAGTTTTAAAAGGATAGTATCATCATTTAATTTTTGTGAAAAGATTACTTTAGCTGGATGCTGGTGACTCATGCTTGTAATTATAGCTACTGAGGAAGGTGAGGTTTTGAGGACCAAGGTAAAAAGTCAGTCCAGGCAGAAAAGTTTTCAAGACTTGATCTGTACAATAACCATCAAAAAAAGCAAGGCTAGAGGCCTGGCTCAAGTAGTAGAGTGCTAGTGAAGCAAGCTAAACAACCAAGAAGCTCTGAGTTGAAACTCTAGTACCACACATTTATATATATATATATTGTTTGAAATTTGGCAGTTCAATTGTAGAGCTTATTTCAGTGATGTTTTAAATTTGCCTTTCATTAAAGTCTGATGTTTCAAAAATTATGTGACAGCTAATTTCTACATAGATGAAACTGGTCTTTATTTCACCAATCAAGAAATTATTATGGAGGTCCCTCAAAAGACTCCAGAGCTCCCCTATGACCCAGTAATCCCACTTTTGGGCATTTACCCATCGATCACAAACAAGGCTATACTAAAGCTACCAGCATAATTCTGCTTATCGCAGCATTATTTACCATAACTAAGACATGGAACCAACCCAATGGAATTCTATGCTTCCATCAGAAGGAATGACATTGCCTCATTTGTTAGGAAATGGAAAGACTTGGAAAAAATTATATTAAGTGAAGTAAACCAGGCCCAAAGAAACATAGGTCCCATGGTTTCCTTATTTGCAATAACTCGTAGATGTCTAGGATAAGCAGAAAAGCTCAAAAGCTATGTACATTATGACCATATAAGATGATGCTAAGCAAAATGAACCCCAAGATAGAAACACAGGTGGTTTGTTTTTTTGGTTTTTTTTTTTGGGTCCGGTCGTGGGGCCTGAACTCTGGGCCTGGGCGCTGTCCCTCAGCTCTTCAGCTCAAGGCTAGCGCTCTACCACTTGAGCCACAGCACCACTTCCGGCTTTTTTCTTTTTGCTTATGTGGTGCTGAGGAATCGAACCCAGGGCCTCAGGCATGCAAGGCAAGCGCTCTACCACTGAGCCACCTTCCCAGCCCCACAGGTGGTTTTTATTTTATTTTATTTATTTGTGAAAATACCGCACAGATATGTGGTTTTATCTTTGTGTTTTTTTTGGGTAGGTCATGGGGCCTGAACTCTGGGCCTGGGCACTGTCCCTCAGCTCTTCAGCTCAAGGCTAGTGCTCTACCACTTGAGCCACAGCACCACTTCCAGCTTTTTCTGCTTATGTGGTACTGAGGAATTGAACTCAGGGCCTCATACATGCAAGGCAAGCATGCTATCACTGAGCTACCTTCCCAGCCCTCTAGCAGTTTTTAATGTACTTATAATGTACCATGTGATTTTTTTGTTTCTTTTGTATGTTCTTCCCCCATGGTATAACCCCTGTTGTCACTGTATTTGATTCCAGTGCTCTGAATCTTGAATATGTTTTTCTAATTTGGGGAGGGGAAGGGAAATAACAAAATGCTGAAGTAAGGTTATAGGATGACCCATTGTAACGAAATACACAAGATACTATGTTGAAAACGAACTTTACAACTTGCGGGGAGGGGGGGGGGGCGGGTAGAGGTGGGAATGAAGAAGTTGGGGAGATGGGGAGGGAAAGGATGGTAGGGGAAAAACAAAGGAGGTAACAAAACTTGATAGGAAATGTACTCATTATCTTACTCATGTAAATGTAACCCCTTTGTATAGTATTTTTACAATAAAAAGCATAGATAAAAAAAGAAAAGCAAAGATAACCTAAAAAATATACAAAAATGAGAAATTGTTACCCAAATTAGAAAATATGAAAAGGCACAGTGCTATAGTGATAGTATTTTTACACAGAAACATACAAAACAAATGAAGATAGGAGAGAATGATGGAAGAGGTGACATTGATCAATCTGCTGTGTGAAATTGACTCCCTATTGTACAACAACTTAAAAATAAAAACAACTCCCCCCAAACAAATGAAGGCTATATTTATTGTCAATACTGAATTTTCAATATTTTCTGTAATTAATAGTAAGTGGTGAATAGAACTGCAGCATAATTCAGGAAATAGCAGTATTTATCTAAACAGTTTAATTCTGGTACACCTTGGGTCAGGCAGAAAACTGGTCCCACCTAAATTATTCTAAATGATATTGTACCACTTAGTTTTCAAATACTTTCAGTTCCTAAACACTAGGTGAAATTAGAAAGGAAAATATTCATAAATTTGTCTTGAAAATTAAACTTTTTTTTAGAAAAACATTTCATTTAACTTTGATTTATACAACCATCTAAGAAGTAGGACTAGAAAATATTATCTACAATGAAGACAACTGAGGCTATTACATACTGATTTTATATAACACAATTTTAAGACAACCAAGTTACTCAGAAAGTTTTTTAAGTTAAAAACAACAAATATTTGTTTAAGTAGCTGTTAATATAACATGATTATTATTGTCCTAACTAAAAATTAGCCTTTTGTTTTCTTTTTTTGTGTGTGTGTGCCAATCCTCAGGTTTGAAGTCGGGCCTGGGTGCTGTCCCTGAGATTTTTTTGCTCAAGGCTAGCACCCTACTACATGAACAATTGCTCTACTTCCAGCTTTGTGGTAGTTAAATGGAGATATGAGTCTTATGGACTTTCCTGTCCTGGCTGGCTTTGAACCACGATCCTCAGATCTCTGCCTCCTGAGTGGTTAGCATTACAAGTGTGAGGGCATGGCCAAAAAAGTCATTTTTGTACTAGGCATAAATAGTACTTATAATCTTGATTTTTTTTTTTTTTGTGGTAGTAACCTGCATTTGAATTCAGGGCCTCATGCTTATTTGGTTGCTTTCTCAGCTGGTGCTCGTATCACTTGAATAAAACCTTCCAGCCTTCCATTTGCTGATTCAGTTTCCCGGACTTCATTGCCCAGGCTGCACTTGAACCATGATGCCCTAGATGTCTGATTCTCAAGTAGCCAGGATTACAGGTATAAACTACTGAATAAAAATCCTATTGAGTGATGACAATATTTAACATGGTTATATTTTACAGACAGACTTAAGGAACAGAGGTCTCTCTTAGAATCAATTCCATTCTACTCCAATGCCAAAGAAACATTAAGAACTTTGTATAGCTGGATAAAAAACAACTAATTTTTAAAAGAATAAATATTTTAAAGTCAGCAAAAAAAATTTATTACTATATAGGAAGATTCAATTTTGATTGAGAATATATAAAACCTTGCCCTACCTGGGCACGATGGGGCAGGACTGTGATCCTAGCTACTCCAGAGGCTGAGGTAGGAGGATTACAAGTTTGAGGCAACTTAGTAAAACACTATCTCAAGATAAAAATAATGATTTATTAAAAAAAAAATCTGCATTGTAGCTCAATGGTAGCAAACTTGCTTACCATAAGCAAGGCTCTGGGTTCAATCTCTAAGAAAAAAAACAAAAAAACTAGACTGACCTCTATTAGTAACAATTACAAATCATTAACAATGATTTCCACTTGCTATTTATCAATTGGTAGTTTAAAAGATTTTAGTGGGGAATATTCACAATGTTAAAAACAAAATAGTGAAAAGGGAGGAAAAAAGAACAGAAGGAAGAAAATACCTTTGGTGCTGCCTGATATGGTCATTAGACATCTTACCAAAGACTGAACAGGGAGGAAGCCTCAGAACTTTTATGCCATATAAGGTCCTAAAATGTATTTGAGGCACACTGGCAGGGCAGTATGAAATGATTTGCACTGCCACTGGCCATATTGTACCTGTTCTGTGGATAATTAGAGTCCTTCAGTTTCCAAAGCTGTCAATCTGGCACTTTCACGAGCACTACATTCACTTAAAATAAAACAAAACAAAATAAAATTGTAATTCAAATGAAAGAATTTAAAAATAAAAACTTGCTGAAGTTTATGGTTATGATATAAACCAAAATTAAGCAACAAAAGTGAAATACCAGTGATATTTTTAAATTTTAAAATTCTTGGTACTTTCTATCACAACTTTATAAACTTCAAGATAGTTTAGGTATTTGTGTACTATACAAGTAAACATTTCTATTTTAAATTTCTTTATTGTATCTGTACTGAAAGTTCTATGTTATGTCATTTTAGCACTAAAAAAGATTTATAAAACTATGATTCCATACTAGGTAGAATCCACATACATATAGAACAATGTCCTAAAATGTCTGGTCCACTATGAGAGGGAGGGGGCAGATAGAAAGACAGAGAGAGGGGGGAAGGAAGGGAGAGAAAGAAAAGTAGATGGAAGGAGAAAGAAAGGGAAGAGGGAAGGAGGAAAGGAGGAAAAAAGGGAGGGAAAGAGAAGAGAAAGAAAAGAATAAAGGGAACAAGAGAGGAGAGAGCATACATGAAGGCAGGGAGGGAAGCTATATTCACAACTACTAGAAATCAATAAAACAAAATTTATGTACCCTACCTGCAGTTGTCCATTTAATGAACTCAAGTCTTCTGCTTTCTTCTCTAAGGACTGAACCCAGACTTTCCTTTTTTGTCGGCATCTAGAGGCTGCTGCTCTATTTCGCTCCAGAAACTTCCGCCTTTTTTCATCAGGATCTTCATTAGCAGCTCTTCTTCGACGACCACTCGTATTTTGGGTCTGTGGAGTTGTGTGAGCTGGAGAAGCCTATATCAAAAACGGATAAATTTTGTTATATTTGTGTTTAAAGTTAGTCAAGCAGGATAGATAGGGTATCACAAAAGGGAGAGTACTACTCTAACTTTATTTTCTAAATAAATGTCAAATACATAGGTATAGTTTTGAACATGTGGTAATATGTAGTTTAATTTCTTCCTTGAAACAAGCATGCTATAGAAAAAATTCTCACTAATGTAATCTCACAGAATAGGTTTTAAAGTCTGTATAGCATTTTCATTTATGTAGAAATACTGAAACCATGAAATTACAATAAAAATAATCATACATTGATCTTTTTTTCCGAGTGTACTTTAAAACAAATTTTATTCTATTCAATTCTTTGAAAATTGTTAACTATAAATTACAAAACAAAACAAAACAAAAAAACCCTTAATAGTAGCAGATGTGAGCCACCAGCATACAGTCTGCAATCCTAACTACTCAGGAGGCTGAGATCTGAGGATCGTGGTTCAAAGCCAGCCTGGGCAGGAAAGACCATAGACTCTTTGTTTTGTGGCCATGGGGTTTGAATTCTGGGCATGGGCACTGTCCCTCAGCTAGCGCTCTACCACTTCTGGTTTTCTGGTGGTTTATTGGAGATGAGTTTCATGGACTTTCCTGCCTGGGCTGGAACCTCAGATCTCAGCCTCCTGAATAGCTAGGATTACAAGCGTGAGCACCAATGCCTGGCAACCATAACACTCTATCTTCAATTAACTACTAAAAAGCTGTAAGTGGAGCTGTGGCTCAAGTTATAGAGTGCTAGCTTTAAGCAAATTGAAGGCTATGAATTCAAGCTCCAGGACCAACACACACACACACACACACATATACACATGCACACACACATACATGCACACCCACATACACATAAGAGTTGGGGCTGGGAATTTAGTTCTGTGGTAGAATGCTTATTTAGGGGAAATATTTCTTTTTGTTAGTTTTTGTCAGTCGTGGGGCTTGAACTCTGGGCCTGGGTGCTGTCCCTGTACTCTTCAGCTCAAGGCCAGCGCTCTACTGCTTGAGACACAGCGCCACTTCCGGTTTTCTAGTGGTGTATTGGAGATAAGAGTCTCACGGATTTTCCTGCCCGGGCTGGCTTTGAACGGTGATCCTCAAATCTCAGCCTCCTGAATAGCTAGGAATATAGGCGTGAGCCACCGGTGCCTTGCTAGGGAAAATACTTCTATAACTGGTTTCATGAACTGCAAACTTAAAATATTTTTCCTTATAGGTGGATGAAGAAATAATAAGTTATTTACAGAACTTACCTTGAGCTTATACATAAAATGTTTATTAGTTAGGAGAATATAAATTTTCATCTTTCTTATTGGAAACAGAAGTCACAGGGTTTTTTTTGTTGGTTTGTATTTTTAATTGATTTAAGTCATTATGGGAAAGACTAATCTATTTTTGTATCTAATGAGGATTTGAAGCTGCTTAAGTGTGTACTGTATCTTCTCTCCTCAATTCCATTGAGTTATTCATTCCATTTTATTTAGAAAATATAAGCATTTTTCTAGTATTTAGCAATACAATAGTGAACAAATGGATAAAGTCCTGCCCTAATGGAGCTTCCATTCAATACAATAAAACAAAAAGTTACAAATCCAGAGTAACTGCAGTTAATATATAAAAATAAAGGATTTATGGCCAGCACACTTTGGTCTACGGCATATCTCCGAGTAGAGAGTGGGGTTTGAATGCTGTTGTCTCGCCTAGGGAGGGAGGGGATGATCTGGACTATTTGGGGGAAATGTGAATTTCATTATCAGAGTAGGAACTGTTACAAGTAAATGTGTCTTTTATTAAAAAAAATTAATAAAAACACACACTCGTTTCTTTTCAAGTGGGAAAAATACTTTGTTTGCAGATCATATAAAAAAACAAATGGCTACATTTGGGCCATAAACCAGTTTTATACATAATCACTCACTTTTAACTTGGCTCCTGAGTGAACCTGTTTAGTAGATGACAACTACCACTACATTCCATTTTATCTCATGTTTTATGAATAATACCTGTGTTTAGATGGCAATTTAAAACTTGCTGTTTACCTGTGTTACTTTTTTTTTTTGGTCCGGTTGTTGGGCCTTAACTCTGGGCCTGGACGCTGTCCCTCAGTTCTTCAGCTCAAGGCTAGCTCTCTACCACTTGAGCCACAGCACCACTTCTGGCTTTTTTCTTTTTGCTTATGTGGTGCTGAGGAATCGAACCCAGGGCCTCAGGCATGCAAGGCAAGCGCTCTACCACCGAGCCACCTTCCCAGCCCTTATCTGTGTTACTTTAATTAGAAATTTTTGCTTTTTGATGTCAGTGCTAATATTTTTCAAATACAGAATATAGAAGAGCTACACAGTTTTGAAATACTTAACAGAAATATTGAATCTTTTACTGTAGAAAAAGAGAAAGAACAAACATGACAGGAATTATAAACTAAAATTAGTGAGAAGGGTTCTTAGTAAAACAGTTGTCACATAGCAGAGTTGCTCCTTTGGTAGATTCCCTTAGTTTTAATTCAAGAAATATTTATGTGAATAACGTAATACTGATATAATGCATACACCTAATCTACACATTTCTTGAAAAGGCTTTTGATTTCTTTAAAGGTAAGAGTACTTACATAAATCAAAGATACAATGCTTTACAATTAATGAACAAATACTAAGGCAGAAACAAGAATGATTATTGAGAAAAAAAAATCTGCATCTCAACCACTTCAGCAATAAATAGCTCTTTCCACTTAAATATTCACAGAGGTGATTATCACAATATGATATACCTTTTAGTTTTGAATACCTGGCATCTTAAGAAATAGGGAAATCAATGATAATTAAAAAAAAGAGATCCAAGATTTTTCACAGGTTGGAGTTGTGATACTTGAATAAAGAACTTGCACATATTTTTTCTTTTGTTGGTAGTGGGGCTTAAACTCTGGGCATGGGCACTGTTCCTGAGCTCTTCAGCTCAAGGCTACCACTCTACCACTTGAGCCACAGTACCACTTCCGATTTTCTTGTGGTTTATTGGAGATAAACTTTCTTGCCCGGGCCAGCTTTGAACTGCAATCCTCAGATCTCAGCCTACTGAGTCGTCAGGATTACAGGAATGAGCCACAGGCGCCTGGCTGAAAATATTTATTTTTAAATAAAGATTTTTTTTTTTTTGCCAGTGGTGGGGGCCTAAACTTCAGGCCTGGCTGCTGTCCCTGAGCTTTTTTGCTCACAGGTAGTACTCTACTACTTGAGCCACAGTGCCACTTCTAGTTTTCTAGTGGTTACTTAAGAGTCTCACAGACTTTCCTGACTGGGCTGGCTTTGAACCACAATCCTCAGATCTCAGCCTCCTGAGTAGCTAGGATTACAGGCATGACCTACCAGTACCTGACTTAATTTTTTTATACTCATATATGAAACCTGTTAAAAAATTTTAAGAAGTGGGCTAAAACGAAGAAATAATAATAGAGGAGGTGAATTATTTATAGGTATCCTTAACACTAACAATTCATCTATTATTTTTACTTTTGTACCAAATACTTATACCTTTATACCCTATCTACTTTCTCTTAGTTTTGAAATAACATGATTAAAAGTATGTTTTAAGTATATAAAAAAGTCATATAGATTACACTGTATTTGTTTATTAAGGATAACAGGGTGATGAATGATAAAAACATACATACCGGGGTTTCTGTAGTGGATGTGGCAGGCTGTTGTAATGATTGTGAGCGAGATTCTTCCGATTGAGTCCTAACCAATCCACTACCATGACCTTTGACAGTATCACCATTGGTAACTGGAGGATGTTGCTGAGTCAAAGCAGCTTTTAATCTCTGAAATGCAAACAGCATTATAAGAAAGTTTTCTGTTTTACATTTAAATTTCAACATATTCTTTGGGTTAATCTAAAATACAGTACTTGCTAAGGAATACATGAATATACATTTCGCTTGAAATTCAATTTTCATTTATTATACTGAATTGTATTATTACAAATATCAATATGATAATAAAAAAGACTTTTGAAAAGCTTCATTGACTTTTTGTGTAGTACTATCAGAGGATTCTATACTTTGCTGTCCTAAATACATTTTCAGAAGAAGAGCTGAAAGTTACTAGTTTTGTTCAACTAAAATATGTAAAATAATTATTACATACACTATGACCTGTTGTCTTCTACCTCATTCCTATACTTTTCCATATGGGCCTATTTGATGTCTGCTTCCAGGTATGATGCAGCATTTACTTGGACAATGGCCTGATGTTGCAGCTGTTAAGACTAGGCTCAATTTAAATTTTAGAACTTACAGCTAGTTGAGTTTATCACCTAGAGGTCTCTCCTTTTCCCAATAAGTAGATCTATTTTTTCTAATATGTTCTATTTTGCAGTTAAACTGAACTGAGATTTGAACGACTTTCATAGTATAATAGATATAGCTAGAATGAGGCCCTATATATTTATGGCATATACTGTATTATATATGGCGCATATATATATATATATACACACACACACACACACACACACATATATATATATATATATATTTTTTTTTTTTTTTGTTGGTCGTGGGGCTTGAACTCTGGGCTTGGGCACTGTCCCTGTGCTCTTCAGCTCAAGGGAAGCGCTCTACCACTTGAGCCACAGTGCCACTTCCATTTTTTTTCCCTAGTGGTTTATTGGAGATAAGAGTCTCACGGACTTTCCTGCCCGGGCTGGCTTTGAACCACCATCCTCAGATCTCAGCTTCCTGAGTAGCTGGAATTACAGGCGTGAGCCACCAGCGCCCCGCTTATGGCTTATATTGAAGCTTCTGCTATTAGCAAAAAATATGTATTTAACCAGTAAATTGACCCCAGGGCATATGCATGACAACTTGAGCCACATCTTTACTTCTGTTTTTTTGATTAGTTAACTGGAGATAACAGTCTCAGATATTTGTGCTTGGACTAACACCAAACTGTGATCCCCAGATCTTAGCCTCTGAGTAACTAGGATTACAGGTACAAGCCATGGGCATCTGGCTTCAAATATCAAGCTGTTTAAGAATGGAGACTATCTTAGCTATACATGGCTCATGCCTGGGATCCTAACTACTCAGAAGACTGAGATCTGGAGGATCATAGTTCAAGGCTAGCCTAGGCTAAAAAGTCTGAGAAACTATCTCCAAAAATAGGTAGGACAAAAAGCAGGGTTGGAAGAATGGCTCAAGTGGTAGAGTGCTGGCCGAACAACCATGAAGTCCTAAGTTCAAGCCCCACGGTACTGCTTCTTCAGCAAGAGTAGATAGAGATTGTTTTATATTTCTTTGTATTCCTTTTAGCAACTGGTCCTTTCTTTGAATTTTATTGCTCACCTAAAAACAAGCAAAACATTTGGTATTTAGCAAGAATATTCCACCTTTCTGGAATAACCCTCTTAAAAATCTATTATAAAATCCAGTTTCAATGCTCCAGAAGATTCATTACAACAGCAGACATAGTGGTTCAGAACTGTAATAGCAGGTACTTGGGAGACACAGATCAGGAAGATCATGGTTTGAGACTAGAAAAGGTAAAAGGTAGCAAGGCCTCATCTCAGCAAAGAAGTCTGGGTGTAGCAGTCTGTGTCTGTGATCTCCAGCTATTAATAATTTTTATCTTTTATATACAGAATGCTAGATATAAAAAATACAATGAATAGAACTTTAATCTACAGATCTAAGTATGGGCTTTCATTTCTGGATATAAAATATGTATGAACATAACTAGAGACTGAGCTGTGAGGCTTGGAAAATTATGTGTTGGTAAAACATTTTAAGTCCTTAGGCAGAAAACACAGAATTGAAGAGCATTTAAAGTTTTATAGCGAAGAGCTTAACTCTTAGAATTAATGAAATACAGTAACTGCACATAGGGGAGTCTGAAGTACATAAACACCACTCTCTTGAATAATCTTTAGTAGGGCAAGTTACTACCTTATAGAACACTTAAAAGCAACATCAGTATTCACTCATTATCTCCCTTGACTGCCCTAGGGTATACAGTACTCATCCAGTGAGGAAGCACTAATGTCTGCTCCATGCTGTTACATTGATTACAGTGGGTCTGACTTGGAAAGTGTGCCACTGGGTATAAAATGTAAAAATGAAACTTTAAAGGGTTAATTAACATTACTCTGAATTATCAATTTTTAAAAGTACACAACAAAAATATATGTATGTTAAAAAGTAGAGCCAAGTAAAAAAACTGATTTTATAACATTCATAAATTTTACAATTAATATAAGGATACATAAATACTCTCCTATATGTTTATCAGGAGCATGTTAAAGAAAGCCAACATTTCGGCTTAAAAATAAATGGAAAAAAATGTAATTAACATTTTGGAAATAAAATTTTGAAGCTAGAAGAGATATTTTTAATCAGTCTAATAACTATCTTATATAGAAAGTGAAATTTCCAAGAATTAGCAGAGGAGATAAAACCAGAAATTCTGTTGACTTCCAGTTCATTGAAAATATTTTAAAGAAAAGATTTACCAAAATGGCTTTGCCTTAATATTAAGTATTCTAAGTACATAAGAAATTAAGGTGAATATCAAATATTGGTCATCTCATACTGAGATCAAAATTTTTCTAGTAGAAAAATATAAGTAAATAAAATTTTAGTATTCAGTAAAATAAGTAGAAAGCACCCAAGAAAAATTTCAATAAGACTTAAAAGGTTTATAATTTCTAACATTGACAATAAAGGAAATATATAATTTTAAGTTAAAGACACACACTGGCAGAAAACTAAAATATATTTATAGTTATATTTTGAAGAGGCAGAGTACTGTTTTAATGTTTAGAGTTAATTTTTCAGTTAGGTGAAGTTTATGATATTGAAAGCTTTTTATCTTAGTGACACAGGCTATGCCAATTAATGGATTAAGGGTTTCTTGCTCTGACCAATCTGAACCAATTCATTTTCAGAGGAAATTGCTCAAAATCATCTATTATTCAAGTTCTATGTTTATGTTGCACCCTTGAAAATAAATTATATTACATCTGCCACAAGTTGGTAGAAACAAACTACTCCAGCATAGTTCAAAAAAGAGATAATGTTCTCTGGAACAATTTATGAAAAAGTCAGATTCATATTTCATATGTACCACAAAAGCTCATCAGAGTAATAACCCTCCTTCTCCTGGGTGTTATCCTACCATCTGCTGCTCTATTACTTATCTTTATTTTGCAACTAATTAACAGCATAATCTTCTAAATTCAGCAAGTTAATTATCATTATTGTGATCTTTGCAGCATCATCAGTCCTCATGAAGTCTTGTCTCCCCACCCCTAGAGAACATATGAAAATGAAGTAAATTGGGAGAGGGTCTGTTTCTTTGGTGCGGGCTCATTAGGTGTTTGCTGATTAGCTTGGCATGCAGAGGCAGGTCAGAAGAATTTTGCTGAACATGAGGTTCCATGCAGGGCCCAACCAAGATTATATAGGTTTCTGAACATTTGCCAAGATGCCCTCTGTAATCTCTCAGTAGAAATCCCCCACAGGAAACCTACTGGCTACCCACTGTGTACAAAGATATTTCTCAGTTTGACACACAAGTCTTAAAGAACGATTCCCAGAAGACACAGGGCTGAGGATATATAGCTCAGTGATGGTCTGCTTGCTTGGCCATATATGAAGCCCTGGGTTTGATTCTCAGTTCAATTTCCTTCTATAAGATTGATCTCTCTGTCTGTCTACCTGCTTACTTATCTAGGTATGTGGGTATATAAATACAGAATACACTTAACACTGAAGTGTAAAATGGTATGTGTTATGCAACAAGAATGTCCACTAATCAGAATTCCCTTGAATTCTAGGTAATTAATACTTGAAGCTGCCAGTTCTTATTACTTAAACAGCATAGCAATAGTGTTCGCAAAAGTGAGTCAAAATAAATAGCTATGGCTAAGTGTCAATGGCTCACCCCTGTAATCCCAGCTACTTGATATCTGGATTATAGGTCAAAGTCAATTTGGGCAGAAAAACCCAAGGGACTCTATCTATATCCAGTTAAGCAGCAAAAAAGCCAAGTTGTAGGTATGACTCAAGTGGTAGAGCACCAGCAGTGAACAAAACAGCTGGGCAAGAAGGAGACTTGAATTCAAATCCCATACTAAAACAAAAATAAACAAAACACCCCACTATGATCTATTAGTAAATGGAACAAGACAAACATGATAAGCACAATATACCAAAGATGATTACATTTCCAAGTCACAATGTAATTAAAATAAAAAAAGTTTTAAAAAAAGGTTGAAAAGCCCTCAAGTATTTGGAAGTTATATAAGATAGTTCTAAATAATCCACAGGCCAAAAAAGAAATTAACACTACATAAAGCTAACAAAAACTGTAACCAGTACATACAAAGAATTTCTACAGAATGATAATAAAGGCTGTGTAATTAAAAAAAATAGGCAACAGACTTCACAGTTTAGCCCAAGAAGAAATATAAATTAAAACCTTAAGAGACCACTGCATATTCACAGAACAGTTACAATTTAAAAAGACAAAGAAAAGCAAATGTTGGCAAGAATGTGGAAACAGAATTCCATACACTAGAAGATATAAAACTCTTAGGAAAATTTGACAATTTCTTATAAATTAAATGTGTATCTATTCTCTGACTTAGGAATTGCATTCTTTAATTTGTCAAAGAAAATAAAAACATATGGCCACAAAGAGTTCTTTTATATAAAAGAATGTACAATGTACTTAAGTAGTAGGGCTGAATATACAGCTCAGTGGTAAAATTCTTTTTTTTTTTTGGGGGGGGGGGGGTGTCTGGTCGTGGGCCTGAACTCTG